CATTTTTAAAATTCTCTCAGGTTTTCCTCGTAAACGAATACAAACAAATAAATACACGGGCGTATACGTACGTATGTGTATTATTTCTAATCGCATGCATGTTTATGTTGTATGTCCAGGAGCTGAGGCATGATGGTCAAAGCCAACACCTCAGTAACTTATGCGCATATTAATTACTTGCTTATTTCTGCAGCTGACTTAAACCGGTAATAACTATAACACTATCATCACAAGGACGTTTAAAGTTTCCTTCAAAAAGTGATCTGTTAGTTTTGAGACAGTAACATCTATCGAATTTGCAACACCCTGTACAATTTACAGTGAAAACCTCTCCTTTACTTTAGGAAAATCCATTAATTATTGGGGCGGACTAGCCATAAGGGATTTTGGGAGAGTTCTCCTGCCCCCTTCCCCACGATACAGGGCCCCCAATACGAAAAAAAATTAAGTAATTATTGGGATCCGTCAAATGGGAGGAGCCTAAAAACATGGCGCCGATTAGGGAAAATTTATCGTAGTTCCTATAGTGTACCGTACAATTTCCAAGCTTTTAAATTACGATAAAATGATAAGTATATACAGGGTACCTGTAACAGTGCGTACAATTATATTCAGTATACCTTTGGTTTATGCCAAACGTATGCAACATACTGTATATCCGCAAAAAATTTACGTCTACAGTACTCATCAATGCCTCCAACTATACTCCACCCCCGCCCCCCTTTTTAGCGTTGAACCTTCCACCCATTTCTCACCCGCTCCAACGGTGAGCCACCACATTTAAACAATCACAATAAATATATTTTTCGTTAATGAATATTTTTAATATACGTAAAACCCATTGTGAGAGCAACAGAACAAAAAGACGTTCACAATAAAAATAAAAACAACCTTGTTGTAAGCGTTTTATTTTCCATAATAATAAGTCACCTTTGTTATTGTACACATTGTATATTAAATAAATGCATACGCAGCAGGTATAACAATATTGTACCTGTTGTATTATTATTTATCCTATACATGTCCTACATAATTTATGCAAAATTCAGGTGTTAAAAATATTATTGTTTGTCATAGTTATAAAAGTTTAGATGACATCATTTTGCTTAAAATGTTAAGATATTGAATTATTAGATGTACATATGTTATTATTTGTTTATTTGCTCGTTTTTGGTCCCACTGAAGTAAAATTAAATAGTAAAATATTTTTATTTATTTTTTTTCTTCTGAATTTTTTGGTTTCGTTTTAATATTCTATTTAAGGGTTTAATTTTGAAATCATTACGAATTGGAAAATTGGAAATTATGTTTATGAATAGTTCGTTACTTTTATTTTAAAATCTACGCAAAAATAGTTTTATTAGTATTTTTTAAGATGAAAAATATGAGGTACTTTTGCGACTAATATTAATTAATACCTAGACAGTGCTTAACCATCAGATTTTTGTCGAAAAACACCCATACGGGTAAGATTTTTAGCCAGTTACCTCAACCACGTCATATTCTAGCATTTTTTCTTCACTATTACGTCTGGATACTGACCTGTAGTCATTCTCGTTTTCTCCATTCCCATGGTGTTGTTGGTATTTTCTGGGTGACCTCCCGGAACTCCCCTTCACTCCATCGTACTTATTCTCCCTTCCGTAAATGCTACCACCAAACGGGTCTTCGCCCAAGTAGTACCGATGAACCGGCGAACCGCCCCTCCTTCCCGAATCGTCCCTCTCTCTTCGCCTATTCATCGGAGAGCTGTCGCTAATGTTCGTGTCGATGATGTGGCCCTTTTGGTACGACGGTGACGGTGACCTTTGTTTCTGTGCCGCCCTCTGTTGTTGCTTCGCTTTACGTTCAGCGCTTGCTGATCGGATTTTTCCAACCAGTTTTCGAATTGACTGACCTGTAAGGAAATTCAATCGTTTATAAACCGGTAGGAACACTATTCTGGTACAAAACCCTAATTAGTGAAGAACGCTGATAAAACGTGGGCTATTATATTCCCAGATATCTAGCGAATGCTGTAGTGAAAACTGCATCCCAATTCTACATTCGTTTTGACGGGAATCGTANCTGCTGTCTTAACAGCGCGTTTTAGAAAATACCACAAATGGCGCGGTAAACGCCATCTGTAGTACGATGCTACATTTTAGGATTACGTATGCTCCAACAAGGTCCATTTAAATATATGGATCTACTGAAACGTTTCGGCGAGTAGATATCCATATATTTAAATGGACCTTGTTGGAGCATATGTAATCCTAAAATGTAGCATCGTACTACAGATGGCGTTTACCTCGACATTTGTGGTATTTTCTAAAACGCATCAAAATTCATCCAATTGATCTCGAGTTTTATAACTACAAACATAGAAATTACTTACCAATTATATTTCCACTTTTCTCCCTGCTCTTCTCGCGAATTGGTTCAGCGGCAAACCTCGTTTTCTGATGCTTTTTCCCCGGTGAACTTTCCCTTGGGGGACTTGTTGGTGGATAATCCGGCGGTGGTTCTTCAAGAGGTTGTTCTTCCGTCAAGTCTTCTCTGGAAGCTGTCCGATATCGTTCGTATTTATCGGAACGGTATAGTTTATCCGCAGAAGTTTTTTTTCGTTGGGGAGGCGTGGGAGTCGTACTTCTGTAGTTAGGGGCGGGGGAGGCCTTGTACGGTTTCGGAGAGGGGGGTCCGTAGTCACGGTACTCTCGAATCGGAGAGGGACTGCGATAGTTTCGCACGGGGGAGGAGTGGTATTCTCGAGGCGGTGATTGGCGCCGGTATTCGCGGGCGGGACTGCTGCTGTAGTCGCGGGGTGGGGATGGTCGCCCGTAGTGATCGCAGTAAGTAGATGCGATTGGTCGAGACTCCCGTATTGGCGAAGGGGAATCGTGGGCGGAGGGGTAGATTATTCTCTCTCGGCTGTATCCGTTGTTCCGATTGGACCATTCTTCTATACCTAGAAAAAAAGACAAAAGGGGGAGTTAGATTACAGAAAGAGGTACGTTTTTAATTGATTTAGAGGCGTCTATCTACAAAAGCTTCTCCACCCTGTAAGCAAACCGAAAGCGGAAGAGCCAACAGAACCAAAATACCTTTATAATATCCGTTAGTAGTAGTGCAATTATTCCTCTGCTCCTCGATAATTCTACCGACTTTAGGGGGTGAAACAGAACGTTTCGGTATACCGTTGCTAAGTCCATTAATTTTACCGACACAGTTCGTTTGGAGGGATGGTTGTGATTTGATGGTGACGTTAAAATAGTTAGTGCGAGGGGGCATAGGTTCGGCTTGGGGGTTGAAATCGTCGTCGTCGTCGTCGTCGTCATCGTCGTCGTCCAGCGATTCGTGAGACGAACGGGAGTCACTGCCAAAGTGATTCTCTAACCACTTGGACGTTTCGAGTTTCCTCGTTTCCTCCTCCTGGTCGAAATCGAGAGGCTTTCGTGTTAAAGCGTCTTTTCTGTCTAAGGGGGNCTTAAGGCGTAGTAGTGGCAGTATAAAAAATTCCTTTTCAAAATATAAAATTCCCCCAACATATATTCTTACGACGCCTGTTTTAATCACACACACGTAAATCATGCGACCGATCTTTCCGCACTCTTTTTTCTAGACAGTGTTTCTGAAATATGTAGCAAGTATGCAGGAGATGATGAGGCACTATAAAACAAGAAAATTAAGTAAATGTTTAGTGGTCCGAAAGTCCACTGTTTTTAAGAAATACGTCTTTGAAAGTAAAGTCAAGGAGCAGTCCGGCCCTGGCGGTATCACGCAGGGAAATATGACATTGCAGCGCCGCATAGCATCCGTGTTGTAGGAGTACTTCTTTTGTATTTTGTGTTTTTAATACCATGTTGAGGTGGACTTTAAATAGTACTGCATACTATCAGCGACCAACAAAGTAATTGTTTAATTAATTGTTATCGCAATGAGCGTCTAAAAATTATTATGTGTAATAGCGAAATAAAGCTGTTGATAATTACTTTATTAGTCGTTTCACAATCGTCACTGTTTACATTTGTCGTCGATGTAGTTGTTTTATACATATTATCGCAATTTCTCTATACGTTGCCAATTCACGTCCAGGACCGGCTTCGAATTGCAACTTCATCTGGTTTTCTTACAATTTTTTTGTCTTTTAACATCCTTTCGCTACTTACTAAGCGATTCCCTATTGCATCTTATTAACACCCCAAAAGCTTAGTACTTATTTCAGAAACACCCTGTATTTAACGGTCTTAACAGCTGCGACAGACAAACGCACACGGATGTAATTTTGTAAGGGTTCTTCTAACCCTTCAAATAAAAGCTGTTATTTTTAATAATTTGAGGTTCTTTTACTAACTGCAGTGACCTCCGGGCAAGGGTCAAACCGTCATTTTTTTTTATATTCAGGTGCATTCCAATTACGGAAGCGTACGTACAGAAACATTTGGACCACACGATTTTTTGGTGCAGGAAGAAGACGTCGACCTTTACAAACATTAAGTGGTCAAAATAAACTTCACCGATGTCAACGAACTCTTTTAAAACCAGATGATGTTAATAGAACGCATAAATCTTCGCGAGAGAATACGACAAAACGTTTTACGACATCATACAAAATAAAAAGAACAACTGCACGTTGTTGCTAACGAGTTCGTTTAAATAAATAATTGTATAACGGCTACAAATTGTTATTTAGAACAGCAGCTACTGTTGGTGTAAAGTAATTTTAATTTGTACAATATATAACTCAAAAAAAAATAATTGAAAATTGATCATCAATACGTGTTAACGTTGTCCGATTATTTAATGACAACTTCGTACCCAAAAGGGTTCATATAAAAGTTGTTTGTCGTGGATACGTCTATTGTGTAAAACGATTTTAATTTACAATTAGTTGAACTGAATTGGTTTCGAAAATGTCATAATGTCATTGCAATTTTTTAAATGGAAATAGAAGATGTTACCGTGGATAGAGAAGGTTAGAAATGAAGAGGTATTAGAATGAATAGGAGAATTTCTATGGAAGTCAATAGAAGTAGGCGAGATAGGTTGGTAGGACACCTTCTCAGGCATGAAGGTCTAGTCAGAGACATATTAGAGGCAGAAACGGGAGTTAGGAGGGGTTGAGGTAGATCTAGATTAGATTACTGTTCGCAAATAGTTAAGGATGTGGGATATTCTAGTTTTAGGGAAAAGTGAAGATTAGCTCAGGATAGAAAAGAGTGGAGTTGCGTGTCCAATCAGTCTTAGGACTGACGACCTTATGATGTTGGAGAAGTAATCGTCGATATTAGATACAAATGTCGATTTTACTTCAACTACTTACACTTTGTACAAGATAATATCTCTTGCGTAATAGATTTTAAAATAAATTTAAAAAAATACACTTACCGCGTGTTTTATAAGCCGGTACTCTCTGGTTCTGCCTCCTCCTGGTCCTCGCTTGAAGGGAATCGTAATCAGGTTCGTCCAAGCCGTTTCCATATCTTTCTGCCTCAGTGTTTTCCGTCCTGTACCTCATTTCGTGACCCACACGCACTCCGTTCCTGAGGTATTCCACGTCTTCCTGTTCACGTCCCTTGAAATACCTACATAAGTAAAAAAAAGACTTAATAATTTTTTTCATCAACTTTTCGATCTCGTAAAGCCAATGGCCAAAAATTACAAATAATAAAATGAATATGTTTTTACCTTTCATGCGATTCTTTATGTTCGTTTACGTCGGGTGCATCTTCGGGTAGTTCGTCATCGTTTACCTCCTCGTGTTCGGTCGTCCTTTGGGTTTCCGTGACAATGCGTCCGTCAGGCCTTACTGAACTCAATTCTCTCGTTTCTTCGGTGTCTGTAACTTGACGGGATTTGTGCGATTCGTTGATGAGTCGGGGACCAGTTGAAACAAGAGCTTTCTCGTGGTCCCTCAATATTATTTTTCGTAAATCGCTGTCTGGACCGTTGACAGCTTTCAGGAATTCCTGTAATCAAAATTAATATGAATAATATATTGTAATAACTGTAAGCAACAAGTCCATTTTTGATCTCAGTATTCATTATAATACCAAACTTTGACATCAACCCTTAGTCCGGCCCTGGTTGTAATAGATAATAGTAAAACCGCTTAGACGTTTATGTAGCTATCAAGTCAAGTCTCATAAATATGTTTGAAAATCATCTTTTCTACCAAAATTTACTTCTGATGTTGACAATATACCGCCTGGCGTCCGCCATATTGGATATTGACTTAATATCTACCGTATGTCACCCGCAAACTCAATAGGAATCATAAACATTGAATTCGTTCTACGATTTTATGTTTTACTAACTTCTTTAGGAGAAAGATTTAAAATTCCAAACACTGAAATGACAAGTCGAGTTTTGATCTTAGTATTCGTTATAATACCAAACTTTGACACCAACCCCCAATCCGGCCCTGGTTATAACTATTTCGTAATAGATAATGATGAAAACCGCTTAGAAATTTGTGTAGTTGTCAAGTCAAGTCTCATAAATATGTTTGAAAATCATCTTTTCTACCAAAATTTACTTCTGATGTTGTCAATATACCGCCTGGCGTCCGCCATATTGGATATTGACTTGATCTTTACCGTATGTCACCCGCAAACTCAAAAGGAATCCTAAATACGGAATCCGTTCTACTTTTTTAAGTTTTACTAACTTATTTAAGAGAAAGATTTAAAATTCCAAACACTGAAATGAAGTTAATGAAAATTTCAAAGACAAGTCGATTTTTAATCTCAGTATTCGTTATAATACCAAACTTTGACACCAACTCCCAGTCCAGCCCTGGTAACAACCATTTCGTAATAGATAATGGTGAAAACCGCTTAGACATTTGTATAGCTATCAAGTCAAGTATTATAAATATGTTTCAAAATCATCTTTTCGACCAAAATTTACTTCTGATGTTGACAATATGGCGCCTGGCGTCCGCCATATTGGATATTGACTTAATATCTACCATGTGTCAACCGTAAATTCAAAAGGAATCCTAAATATGGAATCCTTTCTACGATTTTATGTTTTACTAACTTCTTTAGGAGAAAGATTTAAAATTCCAAACACTGAAATGACAAGTCGAGTTTTGATCTTAGTATTCGTTATAATACCAAACTTTGACACCAACCCCCAATCCGGCCCTGGTTGTAACCATTTCGTAATAGATAATGGTAAAAACTTAGATATTTGTGTAGCTGTCATGTCAAGTATCATAAATATGTTTCAAAATTATCTTTTCTACTAAAATTTACTTCTGATGTTGACAATATGGCGCCTGACGTCCGCCATATTGAATATTGACTTAACATCTACCGTATGTCAACCGCAAACTCAAAAGGAATCCTATACAAGGAATCCTTTATACGTTTTTAAGTTTTACTAACTTATTTAGGAGAAAGATCTAAAATTCCAGACACTGAGATGAATTTAATGAAAATTTCAAAGACCTACTAAAGTGGAATTTTCATTGGTTTATAAACACGACAAAGAGAAAAGCAGAGCCATTATAATTACTTGGTGTCAGGGGTCGCAATATAAACAGAACAACATCTGACAGCCTGTGCATTGACGAAGTTGCTTATCAGATGTCAGGTTTAATACTTACTTATCAGTCTCTTTTAGAAATGATTTTCACATTCATCAAGCGGGTTTTTTTTTTGGTCGTTTAATGAATATATGTATGTGTGTACATGGCTGATGGTCTTTCTTTGGCACACTTCGATTTTATTTATAGTTTCTACACACATAGATGAAAAACATTATTTTTAACAGATGTTTTATACTCGTTTGTTTACGTTCGAATTTACCGATTGGTTGGACAACGGTGAAATCGCCATAAATGGTATTTTTATTAGTGTTCTACGCTAAAAATTAACAACGGTACTTAATGGAATCAATTCGGTGGTCAGATGCATACGATACGTGCCTGAAATATTTTTATCGCATGCACGATTGAATGGATCGAAAGAAATCTTGATATATTAAAAATTAAAACAAACGCAGTTTTAGAATCTACGAAAGGTGCCCTTTTATTTGATACCCCACTCGACTAGATGCTACAGAAAGCATTTCCGGCGATTTAGTTCCCCCATCTTCCTCCCCAAAGCTCGAAAGCTCTAAAGAAAAATCAATTAACAATATTTTTATGATTCTGATCGTATCATATCGTATACAATGCAGTGGTTTTTATATTTTTATAGACAAGAAATCCTAAAATTAAAATTGAAATAGGGGCTGTCTTAGCAGGAGGGGGGGGGCGAATAAAAGGAATTTTTTCAATAAAGCTTGTTGGGTATCAAATGAAAGCTCATGAAATGAAGTATACAATAATTTATATTACTATTACATTAATAATATCCGTGGTGTATTTAGTAACTGGATAATGTCTACTGCTTTACGAAAGCCTGAAATTCGTCTACAGGGCACAATAAAGATCGCAGGGTAAAGTCACGTTCTACTTCAAGTGATGCCGTAACGGAGGGTACTTATTAAAAGTTACATAAAAATGTACATAACAATCAGAATGGGAGCCGCACGCATTGTTTAACGATAAATAATCGATATTAATCATTACATATAATGTCTCGCACTTAAACGTACAGGGTGTTACTGAACTTCATAATTATACCTATATATTTATTATGCTTCTATTTCTAATTTGTGAATCCATTAATGTGTTAGACGAAAGTGAGGTTTGACACAAAATATAACATTAAATTATTGGAGGTACTCCTTACAAGAACTTATGCAACAATAGAAAGTAAAATAGCCCGAGGAAACCTTAAAAGAATTGCATGATGGCACAAATCATCGACCATTTTCAAAGTACTGAACTAATATGTCTACGCGGAAATTATAGTCACTGTAATCGTAAATTAATGTTAATATCATCATCTTCGTCCTCAAAAGTGATAGATAAGATTTTTCTAAATGCATTTTATTATCTATAACTCGACAACTACTACAAATTTTGTTTAAGGATGTTTGGGAGGTACCATCGGAGACAAGAGTACATAAAATTATAAATTCGTGATTAATTAGGTTTTGTAGCATATCATGAGGTAAATAAACACTATCTATACTAAAAGAAAAGTATACGGTTTGAGAGAAAATTTGGAATTTGACCAAAAACTTTGAATAAAATAAGGAATAATATGGAAAATTTTTGACTGACTTTTGGCAGTNATATTTTATAAATATATTTAAATTCAAAATTATGAGCTACTACAGAATAAAACGCAAATTCTCATGAATATTTCAAATTTATTAATACAATTATTAATACATTACTTTATAATTGAAAAGCATGTTAACAATCAGGTGTACATGATCCTGAATGATAATTATGATAAAAACATTCGAAACAAACATTCTTTCTGCACCAAGAACGACAAATAAATGCTGTTTTGTTACAATGGTTAACGAATCTCCATAAAATGACGTGTAAAATTACAATTTTTTAAAATTTCAATAACTTTTTGTGAATCGATTTGTAATTTTTACAGGAGTTTTAGAATTGAATGAGGAACGTTCTTCGAAATTTTTATTTGTCTCGTAGCATTTTGACATACCTCCCAAACATCCTTAAGGAGATTGAGTAAACAAAGGATCGGATGTAAGCCCTGGTTCACCTGGATTTCAATAACTTTTTAACGATTTAGTGAATCGATTTGTAATTTTTACAAGAGTTTTAGAATTGAATGAGGAACGTTCTTCGAAATTTTTATTTGTCTCGTAGCATTTTGACATCTCTCCCAAACATCCTTAAGGAGATTGAGTAAACAAAGGATCGGATGTAAGCCCTGGTTCACCTGGATCAGGTATCAAACCCTAAGTAAGGATGCAGAAGTTAGAAAATTTACAATCGACCTATAAAAAGCTAACTTTCAATAGGCCTTTTGTAAAATTATCTCAAAAATGAAAAGACAGATCATGTTTTTTAGAAGCGTTGTTATGTCTTATTCAGGTTTCAAGTGTTTTAACGGTATTTGTCATTTGAAAAGTGAAAGCCCACACGATGACTTCATTATGGGCATGTCGGGTCTGTTACGTGGAAATATGGGTCACGAATTTTAAGATTTCGTTGTTAATACCGTATAGGTCAGGGCGGCGTGGCGTTTGTCTTTTTATGACAATTGCAATAATGAAACTGCGGAATCCAATGTAACAGCAGGTGGGGTGGGGTGGGGGTGGGTTAGCTTGATGCGAGAGAGCAACAACGACCTTCGTTAGAAGTTAAAATGTGAGAGATTAAATAACATACTATGCCCACGTAAGTTAGAAGCATTGATGGTGAAAGAGAAAGGTTTCAAAGATTGTTATTTATTAGGTATTAAACGAATGAATGAGGAATATTTCATCTGAGATACAGCAATAAGCATACGATGCAAATGGTTTGAGTACCGCGATTTCTAGGAAATCTTTTGAAATACGCTGAGGACAAACAGGTTTAAAGTATGGCCGAAAGAAGGTATGACGTCTCTCTAAACAATGATCGAACTATCGGTGTTCCAAGAAGCACGGAACCCTAAACCAGGCGGCCCCTAAGGCTTCGGAACTTTGAAAATTTGGAAAATAACACTGATGATTTGACAAAAACATATATTTTAACGCTTTTCTAAAAAGTGGCGGAAGAACTATCGGTGTTTCATGAAACATGGAACCCTAAACCAGGCGGCCCCTAAGATTTCGGAACTTTGAAAGTTTGGAAAATAACACTGCTAGTCTGGCAAAAGCTTATGTTCAAATGCTAATCTGAAAAGTGGTGGAACAACTATCGGTATTTCATGAAACATGGAAGCAGGCGACCCCTAAGGCTTCGGAACTTTGAAAGTTTAGAAACTAGTACTGCTGGTCTGGCAAAAGTCTATGTTCAAATGCTTCTCTAAACAGTGGAAGAACTGTCGGTGTTCTATGAAACAGGGAACTCCAAAGCAGGCGACCCTTAAGGCTTCGGAAT